GGGCCTGGCCCTGGGTTACTGGCACATGCCAGAGCAGCTCGCTTGGGGGAGGAGACCTGCAGCATAGTCCCCAAACGTTGTGGCCATGCTTGAGCTCCATAGAGGAAATCCACGCAGCAAGCACATGGGCCAGGCAGGCTGGAGGTGGGGCCCAGAAGCAAGCGGATGCTGCTCCAGGTGATGTGCAGGAATGGAGTCACTGCTCCCCCGCCACCCCGCATTTCACAGATGCTGGTCAGCAGGGAAGCCTGCTGGCAGCACTGGTAGTGTGATGAGAGGCTGGCGGGGGGCCACCATCAGGGCAGTGCTTGAGCTGGTGTGTGGGGGGGGAGGGTAAGTGAGGGGGCTGAGGGTGGTGTGCAGAGGAGCTGAAGCCTGTAGGGCTGCAGAAGAGGCTGGTCAGTGGGAAAGCCTGCTGGTGGCACTGGAAGCTTGGGAAAAGGCCTTTGGGGGCGGGGAGCATGTCCTGGGCTTGGAGTTGGGGGCGTGGCAATACAGAGCGAAGTGATAACATCATTCTGTCATCCCACAGGAAAAATTATATAGATAGATAGATAGATAGATATATACAGAGAGAGAGAGAGGAGGAGGAGGAGGAGGAGGAGGAGGAGGAGGATGATGATGATGACTGCTTCTCATTTGCAATGTGCTTAGGTGAAAGTGAGCACAGGTGTTCGCATGGCACTGTTGTAGCCAGTATTACAAGGTATTTACATGCCACATATGCTCAACATTTGTATACTTCTTCATGCTTCAGCCACCATTCTATAGGACATTCTTCCATGTTGATGATGCTTGTTAAAAAAAGAATGATTAAATTTGTGACTGAACTCCTTAGGGGATAATTGTATTTCTCTTTTTGTTTTACCCGCATTCTGCCATATATTTCATGTCATAGCAGTCTCTGATTATGACCCAGCACATGCTGTTTTAAGAATACTTTCACTTCAGATTTGACAAAACACAAAGCAGATACCAATGTAAAATTTCTAAAGATAGTTACAGCACTCAAACCAAGGTTTAAAATTCTAAAGTATTTTCCAAAATCTGAGAGAGATAGGTATAATGCATGCTTAAGACAGCAATACTTCAATGCAGAAACCCAAACCACCAAAAAAGAAAGTCAACCTTTGGTAGGTAGCATCTGACTCAGATGATGAAAATAAACATGCATTGGTCCATCCTGCTTTGGATCATTATCAAGGAGAATCTGATTGAAGCATGAAGGGACATGTGAACTTTTAGCACAACTGGCATATGATTATCTTGCGATGCTAGCTACAATAGTGCCATGAGAACACTTTTAGGTGACATTAAAAATAAGAAGTGGGCAGCATTATATACTGCAAATGTAAACAAACTTACTTGTCTGAGCAAGTAGCTGAACAAGAAGTAATACTGAATGGATTTTGATGCTCTAAAGTTTTATGTTGTTTAACATGCAGTTATTTTCCCCACCTAATTACACATTACTAAGTACAGCTTTCATGATAAAGAGATTGCATTATAGTACTTGTATTAGAGGAATATAAAATTACTACTTTGGGTTTTTTATAGTACAAGTATTTGTAATAAAAATAAATATAAAACGAGCACTGTACACCTTGTATTCTGTGTTGTCACTGAAATCAATATATTTAAAAATGTAGAAAATATCAAGAATATTTAAATAAATGGTATTCTATTTTTGTTAACAGCACAATTAATCATGGTTTTTTTTAATTGCTTGACAGCTCTATTTTACTCAAATCAGCTGTGGAGAGTCAACACAGCTGTGAAGTAGATTATATAATATTTTATGAACAATCAGTAGAATTATTACTCGTGTTTCTAGTAGGGCCAAATTCTGCCTGCACAATCTTTATTACGATCAATGAGAACAAGCAGTTTAATTTATTTTTCTTATTTCTTCCAAGGATCTGAAGCATTCAGAGACAATAAGGACCAAGTTCTATCAACTCTCAGATATATACTAGCACAGCAGTTCTCAAACTTTTTGGGCTCTGGAGCCCTTTACATGTGTAAAAATTAATGCGGAGCCCCAGCAGTCCACTGATTTTATGTGTTGTACCTATCGATGTTTCCAGTTTGTCAACCTCGCGGAGCCCCTGGAGATGTCTCACGGAGTCCTGGGGCTCTGCGGAGCACAATTTGAGAAACACTGTACTAGCATGTTGGTCTTGAGGCAAAGGCATTAACACTTGTTTTGTTCTTCCTGTGTTACTTCCTGTAGCTGTTTTCATTCTTCCCCTTATTTTATCCTTAACTTTCCACCCCACTGTCCAGTATTTACATTAGATTCTCACTTCTAGGTGCGAAAGGGACATATTCTATCAAAATTAATTAAGCCCCCTACTGCCTTTATCACTTTCTAGTCATTAAAACTCCCGCTGCCTGTCTCTGATTGGAGTATTAGTCAAGGGCAGTCTACTGAATAAGTATTTAGGACAACTACTAGTAACCTCAATTATCAATTAAAACTGTGACAAACTCCTTAAACCAGTTCTGACTAGGAGGAAAATTACCTGGGTCACTGTTTTTTAAAAAGTTTAATCCATCTCCTTTTATTTTGAATCCAATGTTTACAGTTAAACCCTCCCCCCCTTGTAATTACAAGATACCAACAATAAATGTAGCATCAGAGGCTTTTTTTTAATCCTGATCATTCATTGTTATTAAAGATTATATTTCTCTGTTCTCCAGAATAGGATTGTTAACCTTGGCATCCTGACCACATTCTGGCTATGGTTCTACTGACCTAAATTCCCTTCATGGTTTCAGCTGAATACATTCTTCTTCTTCATTTCCTGCCCCAAATTCCCACAGAATGTTGTTATATTGTTCTGCTTTTCAATAAGATGGTTGATGAAATTATGTTGGTATATTAGCAAGCGTATAAAATTATTTGCATCTTTCATGCTCAAAGATGCCAATGGAAATAACATTGTTATAATTATCTTGTAGGGGACCAGAAGATGTGTTGTCAGTTGAAAGGGTCCATTCCTTACAATCCTCCACATAATCACAAAATCAGAAGCCTGGTCTCCAGTATACTTCAAAATGCCTGTATGCTAGTTGTTCAACTCACCCAGTCGGCAAAGATAAAAATCTCTAAAGAATTAATCCAAACTGATCATTGGGCATTAAGGTTGGATAAGCCCATAAATCATTTGGCTAATATTTTAGCTGAAATTTTGCAACTCACTGAACACATTGTTGGAAGCAATGCTTTCCTGGCAAGAGTTAAGATGCCATCACAATAGGCCTCAGAGCTGAAAGGGGAGGCAAGGATTTAATG